CACACATCCGAGCTGAAAGAATAAGGCTGATATTTTCATACAGCTCATAAGAACACTTTAAATCAACACAATATTATAGACCACGCCTGTTCATTTAGGCATTCACACTGTCTGCGATTTTCTGTCTCCCTGCATGTGTCAGATGCAGGTGTGCTACTGTCGCATTTCTGTAGTGTTACAGTTTAATCCTCGTTCATAGAATATGACGCTCTGCTGCCAGTGGACTTGTTCATGTCTGTGATTGGTCATCTGCTGCTAACACCGCCTCTTTTACGTGAACGTGCTCCCGGCTGGATTGGGAAACCCTGGGTTGACTTACCGAGTTGATAACCAGCTTCTTGGTACCGCTTATTCCGATCGCGATTGTTAAGGTTAGTTAAGCCAGATAACGAAAACATATCCTGGGTATGTTGAACTCGCTTCGCGGTGCAGGCCCCTGGCTACAGATTACGGTTGTTGTCATGATGTTGTCATACAGCCACTTTCCTACTGCTTTTTGAAATGGTCGGTGCCCCACCACCATTTTTACATATACATATGACACTGGTCAAATCGGTTGTTAAAAAGTGGGATATTGCAAGAATACCTATCCTTGTTAACAAATGTTAACAAATAATTACACAACTCTATACAGACACACGTTGTATATTTCAATTTGAATTTAAAGAAAAATATTTATGCTCCATGATGTCTGTAATCTTGAGTTGACTTGTTCCCAGTAAATGTTTTGTTCCTCCCCATCACTGCACTCCTACAAATAAATGCTTTTTAAGGAAAAGGTTAACTTGCATATTTAAAGAACAATTAATTGCCTAACACATTACAGATAACACATCAAACAGGATTTTTATGAATGTTAACTGAACTGGTTTTAGTATAAGAATCCAAAGGATATCAGCCTGTGATTCCTTAACTCACATTTTTATGTAGTATTCAACTAGTCTATATTGCATAATAGAAATCCTGAAATGCAGTTATGGCTTTTGGTTTTGTGTGCCACCCCCAGGATTTTCAGTGGCCCCATCTGGCCACCCCTGGGAAGATTTTCTGAGCTAATCAGTGTTAGCTTCCAAGCTAATATGATCGATATGATGTCATTCCGAGCCGGATGGTGGTGATGGCGCATAGATAAGATGCTTGCCTTTGGTGTGGGACCTGGGTTCGATTCCCACTGTGAGACATCCACCAATGTCTCCCTGAGCAAGACGCTTAACCCCTCGTTGCTCCAGAGGCGTGCGACCTCTGACATGTTAGCAGCTGTAAGTAGCTTTGGATAAAAGCATCAGCTAAATGAATAAATGAAAAAATGTAAATGTAAATATGGTAATTTGCTCCAGGCAGAGAATGCTGACCACACCCACAAAGGAACATGCAGCCCCATCCCTTCACATGGTAAACACACAAGACAATGTCCAACCAGAAGACAGAAGACAGGCTTTGCTTCAAAGAGACAGGAGCACCTACAGCTTGTTTCAGACAGATGCTGAAATGAGGGCCTGCATGAAGGGCCAGTATAAGATAGAAAATTCTTTTTTTGAACTTTGAATCATGCAAAGCTGCCATACAGGAGTCACAGAACTACAATATAGGACTGGAAATGCATTATAACAGGTCTCCTTTAAATAGCAATGCACCATGGTACAAGCTCACCTGCTTTTAAAGGGAATGGGAGATGACACTGATTGGTTTATTGCATGTGACGCCCCAAAACACACCCATGATTAGAGACTACGTACAAATCTTTTGAACCATGTTCTCTAGCAAACCCTGTAAACTAGCAAAAGTGGATTCAGAAAAACTACACAGGGACCTGCACCATGCACTTCACGTCGCACGCTTAAGGATTTTAATGGTCACAGGTAAGTGAACCTAAACTATAATGTGGTATGCTGAACTTGAGCACTCACTCTTTCAACACACACTGGCAAAGAAAAGCTAACAAGCTACAAGTGTCATCTCCAAAAGTAATGAGCGCCAAAAATGTCTGAAACCTTTATACATTACATTACATTAACTTGATTCGTTGAGAATAAAGATTTTTGTTGAAGCTGCAACATTAACACTTGAGCTGACCTGTCTTCACCTCAGCTGGTGCAAAAAGCTTTGTTTCTTTGCATCGATTACATTTGGCATTGCTTTCAGTCTGAACAAAGAAGGATTCCAAATCATCTTCAGTAATAGAAAACAAAAATGTAGATAGCAGGACTACTACTTTACATGGAATATTTGCACTCCTAACATCTTTTGGGGCAACACCTTCAATCACAGGAACAATGAGAGAAAGCAGATTAATAAGTTTTATTACCTGAGTTGTGAATTCCCAATATATTTATCCTTAAGAAATATTCACAGACAAAGACTTTTATTTATAACTAAATGTTTTTAACAAGTGAATAAAATTAAAATTAGGTTTTAATAAGGATTATATGACGTGTTGACAAAAAAAACTCCTGAGATGACGTGGGCAGACCATGGAATAATAATGCAGACTTGTATCTGCTTTCCTTGTATTTTTCTTTCCTTGTATCTGCTTCCCCTTGGACATATTATCCACAAACATGGCATTTCTTTTCATATTTATGCTGATGACACACAAATATACTTGCCCGTCAGATCCACAGACCCTGGAATGCTGAGTTCACTTAACAACTGCCTTTGTGAAGTTAAAAAATGGATGTCAAATAATTTCCTCCAGCTGAACTCAGACTAAACAGAAATCCTGGTCATCGGGTCCCAGCAGATGGCAGTATTTGATCAAATACTGCCATCTGCTGGTTCCCTAGTAAATCACATTAAGCCTGTGGCAAAGAACCTTGGTGTTTGGTTTGATAGTAATTTAAATTTCGAGCAGCACACCACAAAGCTTGTTCAACCATGTTTTTATCAACTTAGAAATCTAGAAAAAATTCGATCTATGTTAACTTTTAAGGACACCGAGACCATTTTACACGCCTTCATCTCATCCCCGCCTGGATTACTGCAACAGCCTTTTCACCCGTTTAACCCAAAAATCTACTGATCGACTCCAGACTGTCCAGAACTCAGCTGCCAGGCTTTTAACCAGAACAAAGAAATATGACCACATTACTCCTATTTTAGCTTCATTACACTGGCTCCCAGTATGTTTTAGAATTGACTTTAAAATTCTATTGATCACTTTTAAAGCTCTTCATGGCTCTCGCCTTGTTATATTTCTGACCTTTTAGTCCCATACGCACCAGCACGTACCTTGAGATCCTCGGGCAGAGGTCTGTTGTCTGTTCCAGAGTCTCGACTGAAAACTAAAGGGGACAGAGCGTTTGCTGTCAGGGCCCCGAGGCTCTGGAACAGCCTGCCCGAGGAAATCAGGTCGGCTGAGTCAGTGAACTCTTTTAAGTCCCTTCTTAAAATATACTTTTATAGGAGAGCCTTTCCCGATCTTATTTGACTTTATTTTATCCCTTTTATTTTATTCTATTTTACTTATTTTATATTTTAGTCTTTTCAATGTTTTCTTGCTTTTATCTTGTATTGTTTTATTATTGTCTTTTGGGTATTATTGTCTTTACACTTGTGCTCTACAAATAAAGATTATTATTATTATTATTATATTATTATTGTAGAAGAGTAATGTAGTGGTAAAGAAACATAGGTGAAAGAGGCCGGACCACCATCAGATAGGGTGCGTATTGGAGGAGGAGGAAAGGTTTTCACACTCAAACTGTTTTACGCCTCGTAACTAATCATCTTTCTTTGTGGTTTCTTCTACGTTATGGAACTATATAATTTAACATGTCTCGCACAGTCACATCATAAAAACAGGGTTGACGTCGAGCATCCATCACAGACATGTTATATAAACCTAACTTAGATTTCAAACACAGTTAATAATAAGCTTCCTAACCACTTAACTATCAGAAGCATAAATTCAACACTACTAAAAAATGGTAGCAGATTCAACACTTAGTTTGATCACACATATACTAACTCATCTTACACAAAACAACAGAAACGCAGTGATGACAAGAATCCCATTAACTGTTAAACTTCTAACTTCTGATTACCTAAAACTTTATGCGAAAATCATCAGAATTGCGCCAACCATCAAAAAGCAATCAAGTGAGATTATTACTGAACCAGTGACTGTACATTTATTTACACTTGGGTTAATAAAACTCATCTCAAGGATTTATGTCCTTCTGCTGAGTTTCATATCCGACTTCCCCAGAGAGAGAGTGGTCATCTGGGACGTCCCAGAGAGATCAGAGAGGAAGGGCTGACGGCTCCTAAAGTCCCTACATTTTATTTACCAAGTGATATTATGAGCACTTGGCAGATTAATGGACGGTAAGGAAGCACTTCTTCCTCGCAGTGCTAGTGGAATAGTGCCAGCAGCTGAACGGTGAGTTTTAAATATTATTTTACAGGTTTGAGATCTGAAGTGTATTAAAAATGTACAAAAATTCAGTTCATTGACACTTGTTTACGAATTCATAATAACATCAGTAGAAACAGTTAACACATTAACGCACATGCTGCTCAGAATATAAAGTTACTGTTGTCTATCTCTCAGTTTAAAGAGAAGCTCACAATATAACACAGCATGAGGAGGAGGCAGCAGGCAAGAGCTAGCTTGGCTCTGAAAAATGTTTACAGCGATGCAGCGTGACCGCATTGGTGCCGTTTCAGGGTTTTACTGTGAGTAAATGTTTTCCCACGCTGTTCACACCGCTACGTTTCTCTCCAGTGTGAGTGCGCATGTGAATTTTTAGGCAACCAACTGAGTGAAAGCTTTCCCACATGGTCACAGCTGTACGGTTTCTCTCCCGTGTGAATGCGAATTTTTAGCTCCAATGATCGGGTAAAATTTTCCCACACTGCTCACACCAGTATGGTTTCTCCCCCATGTGAACATATTTGTGACTTTTTAGATTACTTAAAGTAGAGAAAACCTTCCCACACTGGTCACAGCTGTACGGTTTCTCTCCAGTGTGAACTCTCCGATGATTCTTTGACTGTCCGATGTTCTGAAGGATTTGTCACAGTGGTGTTGTTTAAGTCCATCTCTTCCTCTCTGTTTCTATAATAACAGACATACAGAGAGAAAGACGGTGAGTGAGATGTAATGGTGCAGCAAGTATGGAGGATAAATCCAGGTCAGTCTCTCTGTGTGACACAGACAGAGAAAGTGAACCCACAAGGTTCAGAAGGCAGAATTCATATTTAGAGATAAGGTTTAGTTAAGATATGATTACAGCTGTAGAATATGTGTGTTTGTACTTTTGTTGTCATATTTTCATGCAGATAAGAGGTACTTTGATTTAGCGTTAAAGCAAACACACACACACACACACACACACACGTACTGACTTCTGAAAAACTAGAAACCAGATGTTTTTCTGTTAGGTTGGGTTTCCTTGGACTCTGGCCAACATGTGAGGAACAGGATGAAGCGATCTCGTTGGAATGTGCACTAAACTACTTTTCCGGCCAAGTTCTCAGAGTGATTCATTGTAGGTTCAGAGATACTGACTGGACTGGACCAAATATGGAGAGGACGTCCTGGAAAGGGAGGGCAGTACAGAGTGTGCTTTGGGAGGACTGTGAAGAGCTTGATTTTCAGGACTGCATCACTTCATTCTGCAGAACAGTCAATAAAGAAATCTTAAAGCTGAGTCTGTGAATTATTAAATATTCTGAATAAACACTAAAGAGAAAAATTCAGCTCCAAGATACTGCTACAACTTGGGGCTGCAGTCCTTTAACTACTAAACCTTCCAAATGTTTGTCTCAGTTTGCTTCTCTCTGTCTTTCTGTATCTTTCCTTCCTTCTTCTGCCCTCCTTTCCATGTAGCCCTCACTATGTTTTGCTCTCTATAGAAAACACACTGACAGTACAGATTTAGCGCCTCAGATTTGTTTACAAAGTCCCAGCAGGTCCAGCCGGACTCACATCTTTTCCTAGTAGTCCTACGATGGGGAAGTTTCTTTTTTGGATTTTCAGACAGAGTTAAAACTTAAAATGTCTGACAGCTTTCACAACAAGAGGAGCAAAAGCTCAGCAGTAAGTTAACTTTCCCTTAAGTGCAGAACTGGAAGCTAACTTCAGCGTCCTGACTCAACGGCGATCTGGACTCAACAAATCCCTCATCCTGTTGCCCGTACAGGCTGGATGTCAGCACACACACAGATTAAAAACCACCAGGGCACAAATCAGAGCGACCGCATGAACTTCTGCAGTAACATCCCCAGTTCATGTGGCAACCAATTAAACTGTCACACTGGTCCCAGAGCCAGGTACTCACCCCGGTGCTGACTTCCTGGCTGGTCCGGTCCCGGTCGCTCTTAGCAGGAACTCTCTGTCGGACGCTCATCCTCTTAGACGCTGCTGCCGCCATCTCGTCTCTATCAGACTGGACCCAGGAGCATGCGCTGCTCGTGCAGACTCTGTAGTGATGGGAGTACCAGCTGTTTGAAGGGGGGCGGATCTTTAGAGGTACAGAGCTACTGAAATGCAGTTTGCATCTAACCAGGAGTGCAGAAATAGTGTTTTTACAGATGAGTGCAGTCCTGCTATATCTTACAACATGTAGAGGAGTTACACAGATATTAGAGAGAAGAGAAGAGGACAGGGTTAGAGAATGGAGAGTGCAAATCTGGGTTTCTGGTAAGGATGCAGAGTAGAACATTTGTTGGTTAATGTACAGTAACATAATTAAACAGTGTATCAATCAATATATTTGTCCCCGTAGGAAAGTTAGTTTGCAGCACAATCACATGGCATTTCATCACACGGCACAGAGACAACCAGCAGGCAGACTGAAACACACACCCCTCACCTTGCTACAGATTAGGCAGAGCAGCTGAGCCTCCGGGCTAAATGCCTTACCTGTTTAAAAACGTAATGTTTTTATGTACAAATAAAAATGTAGGTCTTGATTTTAGTGAGTAGTGGGAGGCAGTTCAAAAGAGGGGTCAGGGTTGTGTTTGACAGATTGTACAGGCTTTCCGTTGATAAAAGTAGAATAAGGTGATTGCAAGGGGCCCCTGCAAAGAAGACTGCAGCTGTGAGGAATGTGAAGGTCATCGTGTGACACGGCACATAAACTTGGAGTGCTTGTGTTGATGTAGTTTTATGCATTTGCAGTAATTTGTCTTATTAGTGTCACATTTCAGTCTTTAGACGTGTTGTAGGGTAGAATACACTATTGTTTCAATATTGACTATGTGTGGATGTGGAGGTGGAGGAGGTGGGTCTGACCCTAAGACCCTCAAGAGGAGGAGAAAGGCAGGATATGTCTGCTCAACTAACAACTAAAGCAGATACTTGGCCTCGGCCCATCGCCTATTTGAACAAACCTTAAAGATACCGATTTGATTTATGTTTCATCTCACAGCACAACAAACCTGTAAAGTATTGGAGACAATCACCTGGAGCCTACCTGGAGAAACCTGGAAAAGATGCGGCAGCCTCACTGAATGACGTGAAGGGAAAGTCATGAGAACAAAAACTGATCCTTGTAACTATTGGCCTACTGTACAGTTTTTAGTTGTTTCCATCAGTGACTGGTTGAAATGTCTTTTACTGGCATGTGTCCTGTGTGACACTGTGTGTAGCAAAGGGTTGTGAAGTGGTGAAAAAAACTCTTAATATAGACACACTTCTTCAAACAACAATAACATGGAAACATGTTTAAAGAAGAAAAAGATTGCTGGGAATCATATACTTATTTTTATGGTTGTGAAAAGATATAAAAACAAAGTATACTTTAAATAACCAGGTTGCAAATAAACCACAAACATCAAACAACAAATGAAATTAACAGCATTAAATAGATCTGGATCAATAACCAGGTTTAAAAACAGTTGAACACACAAACCAGTCAAACCTTTAAATACACTCGTGCTGCCACCTGCTGGTAGAGAAGGGAAACATTTCACTCAAACAACAGCCTTTAGAGTGGAAACCAAATTAAAAATCAGTGCTGACAGTAACAACTCTGCACACACAGAAATGACTGAGGTTAAACTATCTAAGTAACTGTGCTGCACCAACAATGCGCTCTTTAAACGGGACTCTTGCTGTGTACGTGAATAAATGCACAATATTAAAAATGTATTCAACTACGGTTGCTAACAATTTTCCCTTGGTTCCCAGTTTGTTTGGTGTTTCTTCTAATGTTATCCTGATATTGTGCTTTCATGATTAATATTATATCTATTTCTTTGAGCCATGCGAGTATCTGAAACAAAGAATTTCCCCTCTGGGATCAATAAAGTGTTCTGATTCTGATGATTCTGATAATGTTACAGCTGCTCTATAACTCCTGGCTTGTATTTTCATATATTTACTGGTATAAACCGGTTCTCTTGTTTTTTGATACAGTAACCGAGAGCGGAAATATGTTTTCTTTATTTTTGGTATAATGAACTGGACCCTTGATAATGTTGACTTCTTCCTTCTCCTTCTCGGACACAAGTTGTTCAGGTTGTTCACCTTCATCACAAAGGCCGCATGAGACTCCCTTGGTTCTACATATGCAGACAGAACAGATGCACTTTATTTATGAACTGATAAAACATGTTTAATCTATAATAACACATTCAAATCATATGATAATGTTCCATTAACTTCACAGATGTGGACGAGCTGATCGACCGCTTCAGGGTCTCCGCTTTATTCTTCAGTATGAAACAGCCTGTGCTGAGTCCTGATCGTGAAGAGACAAAAAAGAAAGCATTTACTCTGCAGCCGACTTACTCATGGTAGAAGCACAACCGCCAAAACTCTCTGCTTCTGTTAATGTCTCCTTTTGAGAAAATGTGCAGGGTCAGAGTTCACGACTTTCAGGTTGTAATTTCCAGAAAGAAAACATCAGAGCAAAGCTCCACACATTAGGCCGGTCGTCATGGGAGAATTTGCTCAGGGCGTCCGCAGCGTCTCTACAACAGAGGAACTAGGTTAAGCCAGTTTGCATCTGGAGATAAGGTGCTTGTATTATTCCACCTCTAAATTACTCACCAGGTGGTAGAACCCCTGGCAGTCACACGGCGAGTGGGCCACATGGATTATGAGGTTGTGCGTTCTGACAGGGGAGGAGACACAAATTTACCTCCTCAACCTCCTAAAAGCGAGGCGGAACGTGTTTTCCTGCTGACGACAGTTACGGAAAGGGACGAGTTGGGGCCTGAGGTTCCAAAGTCCATTAATCCAACCTCACTCCTTCTTGACCATCTCACACTGGCCCAGAGAGCCGATGATGCTGCAGCAGGCCAGGACACACAAATCTCATCACAATCACAATAATATTTGATTCAGTCCGACTTTCACAAGAACAAATGTCGTCTGTAGTGTTTTTGTAGTCCCCGTTTATTCAGCGCCTCTCGCTCCTGACTATTCACTGGATCAAACCACAGCGGTTCAACCCAGAGAGCGTCTGTGAACAGAGACAGATGTTACCACCTGAAGACAACCACCTGTTATCATGTGACTCAAGTGCCATACTGAGGGCGTGTGATGGCAACTAAGCCTGATCCATCGAAGTTTGAAGTTTGATTGGACAAAACAAGTGTTTAGATGACATCATCTTGGACTTTTCTCAACAGCGACAGGCGTGTTTTTAACATTTTATTTACAAAGAAAATACTAAATAAAACAGGCAGCAGCACTAAGTCAGCAGCGCTACAAATATTTAAGAATAAAAGTAAATTTAAGGTGGAATAAAAACCAAACTACATGAAAAAAACAGATGGTTTACAAACAAATAATCAGCTCATTTGTTTAAGGCGAGACACTGCGTGAAGTGAATAGGGTAGAAAATATTATGTCTAAATAAGCAAATGAGGCAGTATCTAATGAAATATGTGCTAATTTGCATCTAAATATGAACACTGGATTAATTCAGGTTCATCAACCCTGATAAATAAGTAAAAACATGTCTGAACAGACCGAGGGCCTCCTCGATGCTCCAGCCTGTGACCTGGAAATTGATCTCAGTGCATCTTGAAGAACATCTCAGTTCCTAAAATGCACCTCGAGGAGCAAGGAGGCACTTTGGGAAATGAGAAAGGCACCATATATAATGCACTCTGACCTCTGACGTTTCCCTCCTGGCTTTGACATCCAGAGTGTTACAGTATCGCTGACTCGTGGTAGTTACATCGAATGAAAGGGCTGCGGTAGCAAAGGGGTTCTTTGGTCCAAGCAATATTGATCACTAGTCATTGTATTGATCAATATTTCAATGTTTTAAGAACTTGATGTTATTTGTAACGTTTGTGTGGACAGAAACATGTAAACAGTAGATCTATAATACTAACATGAACACCTCCTGGGTATAATTTTATAAATTGTGTATTTGAGTTTCTTCATCAAATTTACAGTTCCAGTTGTAGTCCAGGTGTAGCAGGAGATATTCAGTTGCATTATAACCTGCAGGAGGAGGTTTTGATGGTGATAAATGGTAAAATATAGATTTTATACAAGGCGAGGATGGAAATCTCATATTTTCCTTTATTTAGTCTGTAATGGTAACATAAATATTAAAAATAAATATTGTTGCTGTGCACAGGGAATTTCGTGTTTTATTGCCCGTGGTTGGAAACGCTGCGGGAGGCTCCCCTGCCCCTGATTGCCACGCCACTCTACGGACCAGTATGGAGGTCCCAACATATGAGCACCTGAACCAAGCATTGTGTCTGTCTTTAAACGACGTGGAAGCACAAAGTATACTACTTCACTCACAATAAATGCAGTAAAGTCATATCAGTGTGCGCTAGCTTGTATTTGATTTTTGGTGACATAAATATCTTCACTTATTATGCACCAAGCCGAATGGTTGAGGAGTTATTCCTGATTCTTTTAGGGTGTGTTATTTTAGGTCTTTGTCCTGGAAATTGGGGGAAATTGCTGGTAGTTTAAGATAAAATGGTGCCTGATCATTAAGAGCTTTGTAGGTAAGTAGAAGGATTTTAAATTCTATTCTGGACTTTACAGGAAGCCAATGCAGAGAAGCTAAAACAGGAGAAATGTTGAGTGTGTGAAAAAGTAGTAGTATCAGGTGGAGACGCAGTGTGTTGTTGCAGACACTAGAGGGCAGCAGTGTGAAGGATTTGTTCTACACAGTAACAGCAGTACAGTAGTCGCAGCAGTATTAGTATTAATAGCAGTAGTAGTAGTATCAGGTGGAGACGCAGTGTGTTGTTGCAGACACTAGAGGGCAGCAGTGTGAAGGATTTGTTCTACACAGTAACAGCAGTACAGTAGTCGCAGCAGTATTAGTATTAATAGCAGTAGTAGTAGTATCAGGTGGAGACGCAGTGTGTTGTTGCAGACACTAGAGGGCAGCAGTGTGAAGGATTTGTTCTACACAGTAACAGCAGTACAGTAGTCGCAGCAGTATTAGTATTAATAGCAGTAGTAGTAGTATCAGGTGGAGACGC